TTTGTCATCCAGCACCTCATGGAGAGTCAAACTACTGTCATCTTCATCATCCATACCTGTCAAACAGCAGTTACTGAGGATTCAGAGAAAATAAAATGTACCATGACACAGCTGACATTGCAGTAACCACAGATCAGCATGTAAAACAAATACGCTAAGTTGAAGTCATAAATCAATTATTATAGCTATAGGAGAAGGGGAGTCAGGTACCATTTTCAGTCACATATATTGTGGGATTATTGTATGTCTGAGCTATGTAATTCAAAACCTTCCGTATGCCCCAGGGCACAATATAGAGCCACTCCGAAGCTGCCTGCCATTCATATATCTCTTAGTAGAATGGAAGACCTGGATCTTCCAAAGCCCTAGTCTATGCACAAATACGCATGCACAAGGACACCAGAGACATAATTCATACCTTCTCACCAATCATATCACCCCGTTCCCATTGAGCTGATAATAAACGGTAAAAGTTATTATTACAAGCATAATACTGCCGGAAAACAGTAAGCAAAAAATTTTCATAAGTATCATTACCAATTATTTCAATCTCTTGATCTTTATAGAAAGAGACTTTTTCAGGACCATCTGTTGCATGAGCAATAAACCTTGCTGTATACTGATTCAGGCCAACAAAGTCCATTGTGTTCCTAAGCAACTCATTGTCTTCCTCTGAGAACTTGGGAAGTCGGTTTCCAAGTCTTTCACGCATAACTTGAGGGTAGTCTCCATAATAGAGAGGATGTAAGCACCTGTGACAAAAATGATAATGGATACATGAAAATTGGAAGTCATAAGAGATTCCTAAATGAATAAGATGATTTAATTACATAAACAAATTATCATAAAGTTGCACAGACCATAAAAAAATTTAGCTTCCTCATCTCACTCATTTATTGTTTTTTTGTAAAAAAATAGTCCAACACTTGCCTAGGGGATTCACAGATGGTATACGTCTACATTTGGGAAAGTAGTGAAGAGACTGTATTTAAATAAAATCGCTATATTACAAGTCTATTTGCATACAGCCAATAAAACAATGTTTAGCTTGACACCCGGAAAGAAAGGAGAGTAATTGAGTTTAAAAAACTACCATCCCAGCTGAAAATCAAGGCGCCTTGCTGCAGCATGTTTATCTTCACTTTAGTCAGAATTAGCCTCTGCCCATTCACAATCCACCACCAATCCTATCTGTCCCCCTTGCTTTTCCTGGAACAAAGGGATAGAGAAAAACCAACCAATTTTCTCTTCAGATTATTCAGATAAGAGAATCATTTTAGCAGAAAAACAAAATACTAACATTCAAACATGTACCTTGTATTTGCTCTTGTATATTGAAACAGCTTGTCGGTGAAATTCGAAGTAAATCGAAGTAAAATAATAGTGAAATCTGAGAGGGGAAGAAGGAAATCAATTGGGGAAGACTGGAAATCTGAGAAATTAGGATTGTCGGTGAAAATAAGATAAAAGGGGGCTGGCCGAGAAAAAAAAAAAAAGCGAAAACAATGGATATGAGAACTTAATAAAACGACGTCGTTTTATTGAATCTTACCTCTTAATTTTTAAGAGGTAATACTGACCGGCATTATCCTTATTTATTTATTATCAATATATTTCAATTTTATTTTTTTATAGGATTTTAATATAAAAAATAATTATCCATAAAACTGGGGCTACCAAAAATATTTTTTTATAGTAAGTATTTGAGAAAGTTTGCTTGGTATATGTTTTGAAAAATTATTTGGATATAATTTTTTTTTCTTTTTTTAAACAATGTCTTTGTG